TTTATTTGAAATACTAAATGTTTAGTCTCACTGGTTTTGTAATTTTTTTCTCTATCGAGTGAAATAGATATCCTATACAGGGTGGTGACTTGCGTAACGCATCATAAGGATTTCAATGTAAAATTCATAACATGCGATTATTGGCTCCTCAAATTATTTTAGAGCAAAAATATATTAAGGTTTTTTGTATAAAAAATTGTTTACGTCAATCAACCGTATTAGTTTTCCATTTTCTGCATAATAAACACGGAAAATTGGAAAAATAAAACCCCCATCTTTTTCAATCATCTGTGATGCCATGGAATTTTAGAATACAAAAACTACGCCAATATCCGTCATGCCATGGAATGTCTGCTATAAAACAAATCAAATTCTATCAAAAAAGTATTATATTTAGAACAGCGAATTCAACATAAAGAAAGACCAAATAACTAAAAACGGTTTCCTAATATAACAATTTACAATAAATGTTCGAATGAGTCACCATTATCTGCAGGACAGTAACCAAGTCGATCATAAAATCCATTTCGAACTGCTGCTAATTGTTAACTGGACATCTTTTTGTTTTAGAAAATTCCATGGCATCGAAGATTATTGAAAAAGATGCGGGTTTTCCAATTTTCCGTCTTTATATGAAAAAAATTGAAAACTATAATACGGTTGATTGGCGTAAAAAATTTTTTATACAAAAACTTTAACACATTTTGCTCTAAAATAATTTGGGGAGCTAATAATCGCATGTTATGAATTTTACATTGAAATCCCTATGATACGTTACGCAAGTCACCACCCTGTATAGCGTCCATAAGAAATAGGAAAGTTGATGATTTACTGGAAACGCACAAATCATAACCACCAGAAAGATGAGAAAAAATTACCAAGGGTTGGCTAAAATTTTTGGTAACTTTGAAAGTAAGTAAATGCCAGCGCAGTATCGAAAATTTCCGTTTTTTTGGTGATAATTTCACTATTTTAGAGCTACAAAAAATGTTGAAAAGAAAATTCATCAGAATAAAATTCTGCATAACGGCATATTCATATAGTGAAAATAAGAAAAAAACTCACCCTGTATAGTAATGTATCACAATTGAAATCTCACAATGGTGTGTTTAAAGTTGAATTATTGGTATGATTGGCTGAAGATGTTTAATTTTTGGTACTAGCATTGAATAAGTAATTACCTATTCAATGGTACTAGTTCGAAAACAATCTATTTTTTTAACAGTAACACAATGGTCCACTTTGCGAACATTTATTACTAGTTTCTGCTGTTTTTTTATTTCCATTTATCAAATAAAACGTCTTTTATTTCAATTTACGGAACCTAATATAGGGCTCTACTAACTCGTACACCTCGCAAATTAATTTACAAAATCTATCAATTTACTCTAATTACGATAACGACAGTCGTGGAATTATTCGCAGCACTTACAGAATGAAACTTGAAAACGCCCTGCCAATTAAGTGTACCAAGTACAAATAAATTACAATTTATTCTTCCCATTTAAAGATGGAACAATAAGGTTTTAATCTTGTTATTCTATTTGCACAGATCTTGTGCAATTAGTTGCTCCCTTTATTACTTACGCCTCGTCGTAGTAAATTACCTTTTAACTCAAGCAGCCCCAACATCATAATAAAAGTGCTATACAGGTTAAACAAACATAAGTTGTTTGTTTTTACACTCCCGAGCGTCTGTGCATTTGCTACACGTTCGTGGAGTCACATTAAAGATTCACAGGCTGTGCCTTCGGCTCTCTTTTTGCTCAAAAAAAAAGTGGATATGTTAGATTCACTCCAATAACTTTAAATGATACTGGTTTGCGGTTGGAAGAACGTGACGTAAAATTTACAAAAGTTTTATGAACTTCAGAGTTTCGTGTTTTTAATTACCTAAAAACATTATTTCAATAAAACTTTAATTTCATAAATGGAACGGATGAGTTCGATCGCTGCAAATGCGAATTCCCAAGAAGTTGGTGGTAGATTAGCATTATTTCTCTTAAAGTTTTCCGTTCTTTTAATTGGCAGAGTTTTACGGTTAGTATAAGAGGTCAAAAATTAGGAAAGATGTTTGTAAGTTCATTTGTAGTATTGATTATGTAGAGAAGTTTTATACTTTTTTCGCACTAAATGACTATTAACTTTCTTATAAACGATGTTGCGCCAATCTTTTTTATTTTCATTTTATTATGCAAGTTTACGTACTTTTTCATTTCAGTTCTATATACAGTGATGTATCGTAAATTTAATTACGTCGTTATTTATTTACAATTAATTAACAATAACTTTACAACAAATGGATTAATTTATGACAGTAAATACAATTTATGATTCACAATTTAAAACATAAGAAGAACTCATCGATGTTGGAACTGAACTGAAATACGCTACAATTGAATTATACACTGCTTATACGTATACAGTAAATAGCAATTATTCTACAGGGTGTTTCAATATTCGCGCATGGGATGGTGTTATACGACAAAAACTGAAGAAAAAGTTCCTCTATCAGTTTTCCATCAGACCGCTATTTTTCGAGCTACCGCGGTTTTAAAAATCTCCGCCCCCCCCCCTACGCTGCGCCACTGATTAAACTTAATAATAACACATTTTAAAAACTAAAGAAGGTTCAAAATAAACCATAATTATGACGAGTACGTAATTACAACAGTTGTTAAAAATGTCCGCCGTTTGCTAGTAAACAAGCTTCCAGCACGTCGAAAAAAAAGTGCCAGTCTGATCAAAAACTGGTAGAGGAACTTTTTATTCAGTTTTCCTTGTATCCCACAGTCCGTGTGCGCGAATTTCGAAACACCCTGTATAATGTTCTTAGAACAATTCGGAATGTTACACGTCATTTTTCCCGGAAGGATTGCGTCACCTCCGCCCTCGTTCTTTATCGCCGATGACTAATCTTTCATGGCACCTCGATGTCTATTACGATGTCTGAAATATTCGCTACTTTGATATTTATTAAGAACTAAACATTAAGGGATTTACGTGTATGGTTTTTCGCATGTCTACTTTTAAATGACAAAATAGCTTCTGAAGGGCGTCGAATTGCCTGCAACGAAAGAACTTATTAAATAAATACAGATTTGGCTGTCATATTAAATATTAAGAAGACTCAAGACACGTTGGCCCACTGATTTGCAGTAAAGATGACCCATCGATGGAGGGGCTCTTACCACGCCAGTTCTAAATACAACAAATTGCCTTATAGGATGCTATGTATTATTATATTTATTTAAAAAAAAGTTGTTAAATATTAATTTGAATATTCTTGTTTTGGGTTCAGTATTCGCTCGTGTGTGATGTATTCAACTGATATTGTCAGTTGGTATTGTGCCGGTAACAGTTAAAGGAGTGTAAGAGATTTATTTTCTGTGAAGCCAATGCAACAATATTCAAATTAATTCATATGGCAGCCCGATCTTTATTTGCTTTAAGGAGTTATTTTGGATGCACAAAATTAGGCGCTCTTCCGAAGAGATTTTGTCATTTCAAAGTAGACAATGCACGTCGTGTGTATGTCTACTTCTGAATAAATATCGCTTTATCAGTTACCGGCAATCTGTATAATTCAGATATGCAAAAGTTAATTTTTCATAGTTGCACATCTGAAACGCATAAAGAGAAAAACCGAACCGGTACGAGATCTAGGGACTGAGCTATAGCGCGAAAGAACGGATAGACGGTCAGATAAACAGACGGCCACACTCCACTTTCGTAGGGTGCGCTAAAACATTTAAATATACAAATGTAATGTAACAGTATTAAGTAATGACCTTTGTTGTCTGAATATTTTTATTTTTTAAATAATACTCTTATCCTTATTTCATTTTTTTGGTAATTGTATTAGTTAATTGTTGACTTAATTTAGCAACAACCAAAGTCGTTTATACCGTAAACTGTTGTGTTTCCTTTAATTGGCGCATCTCCCCTGTTGGAAGCATGTTCAATAAATGAATAAATAAATAAATAAACAAATAAATCCCTTTTGCAGATCAAAGTTGCCCATCGCTAAAATTTAATTTAATTTACAAATGAGTGTTATGTTATCGCAGGTGCGCATTTAGATAATACAATTGTGCGTGTTTTTATAATAGAATTAGGAAATGGAATGGAAGAAACGTTTTTTTTTTAATTTAATGGTAGTGTTGTTTGTTCATTTAAGTCAAGTCGGTTTACTGGTCAACAAGGTTCATAAAAAGACAATTTTATGAATTAAGTGTTATGAGTACGGCGATTAATGACATAAAAGACACGCTGGATCTCGATGGATGCATATCGCTGCAAGCAGGGAAGAATAGAAAAGGATTAAGCCGCATGGACTGAACCAGGCTAATTAGATACATAGGGTTCATCGGAAAATTTAAAATGGTCGGATCAGTTTAATGCTTGTGATTGTGAGTTGAACGTTATCGGATTGGGCATTGCAGTGTAAGTCTGGTTTTTAGATTATTGACAGTATCACGATAATTTAAGACTTTTTTGAGCATGTTTTGATCGAGCGCTTACATGCGTGGTTTTTTTTTACACTTGCACTGTCGCCTATTTTCATTACATCAGTTATCGATTAAAATGTGTGTTGTGTTTAAATGAACAGTTTTGTAAATTGTTTAAATTAACAAAAGAAAATGTATATATTCACAGTGCCTTTTTCGCATCCTGACCATTTATGAACCGAATTGCAAACTTTTTTATTTATGAAAGTATTTAAATGAAATTTGCACTTGGAATAAAAAGTCTACCATACCCAGGAGCTCGTTTTCTATTTTTGTTTGTTTACATATTTTTGATTCCTGAAACGCCATCGGAATGTAATTTGGTTGTTGCCGAACGTGCCAAGCTTTGACCATACCAGACCAAACTGTTGAGGTTTTATATAATTATGTTGTGTAAATCAAACAAACACAGTTAGCAAAAACTATTATTGACTATACCTTTATGAGTTTTGCGGAGATATTTTACCTAACAACTATTTATTGTTACAGTACGTAAAACGGTCTTAAAATGCGATCATCATCAAGAGGCAGTTGCAAGCGCTTGCAGGTTGTAAAACATTGGAAGATCCAGTAACCAATTGTAAGTATACTGTGCGGGTTTTGCCGAAATGTTAGTTGACCTACCCGGTAAATTTGTTATAAGTATCTACAAACGGTTGTTGTTCCAATAACCATGTCCTTGGGCAAACGAAAAGAATATTTTTAATGTTGATTAACCCCGCTTGTTAAAAGGATACGAGAACAAGGTCATAGAGGGTTACCGAAGTAATAGGACAATTATGTTATTGGTATGGGTGTTATTATGTTTAATGTTTTTTGCCCCTTAACTATTAAAGCTTTTGAAATGTAATCGCTTGATAAAGATCTAAGCGCGCGGCTGAAGGCAGATACTGAATCCTGATATTCATGAAGCATGAATATGTATAACCACTCCCTGTTAAAATCTACATCATTCAACATCCTAAACTTCAGCGAAAAACATTTCTAAGGTTAATCTTCCATACAAAATTTTTATCGTTTTCTTTTTTTCTCTACACCAGGCGTTAATTTAATTAATAATTTGCATATTCAAAACCATTTATAAAGGTTAAGATGCTAATTTGAATATATAGGTAACCTCTTTTTGCATTGGTTTCTTTTTTATGCGAATTTAAAATATTGGCCACTTTGCACCTTATTAGGATAATATTCGATATTACAGTATCTCAGCTTAGCGTCCATGCAGGCAACAGATGAATATTATCAGCTCCTTAGGCTAGCGGTATCTGTACCTATTTCGCTAAAAACTAAACTATTTAATACTGCATTGCTTTTATTTAATTTGATATGACATATAAGTTGATAACATTTGCAGGTGTTTCTTTGTGTAAAATTTCTTTTATTTTTAGAGATTATTTGTTAGGTATTATTTATATATAAAACGAACAGATGTGCTAAAAGTATGTGGAGGGGATTCCCGGTCGCTCTTTTTTTTCGATATCGTCAGATCTGCCTTGTCTAACATGGTTCTCTTGTTTTTCTCTATGCTTGTCATTTTCATTTGGTAGGCTTATTGTGTTCTGACTTTGAATATTGGTTATGTTCTTATAACGCGAAGCCGTGGAATTCAGAGTAACATTCTCCTTATCTTCCGATATATATCAACCAAGAGGCTTCTGGTGGTTTTCATCTTTCTTACTGCCTTTTTCACTTCGTAAGCTGATGACATTAACACATTCAATGTTAGTAATGATCTTCACGTGTTCGACTTTTGACAGTGTTTTTCTATCCTCTCCACACTCTTCAAATGGCGTTTGCCTTTCCTCTCAGGAGAAGGGACATAGAATTTTACTTGAAATGATGTTTGCTATTTTTGGGTCTGCAGCGTTTGATCGTTTCAGTCTTGCAATATAACATTGTCTTGCACCACTTTGTCTCTTGTGGAATACAAATTTCCATGAAACCTTCTAATCTCACACCTTGTAAGGGAAGTATGTATACATTATAAAAGCCTTTGTTTTATGTCCAGAACTCTGATATATGAGAAAACCGCGCGGACTGTATCTAAGTAACACTTACATTGGTTTATTCGATGAAAGATACCTTCTTCTTACATTATAGCTTCTTCGGATTCGGCTTTCTTTTTCGACCCTTTTTATTATCACGAACAGGTTTTACTTGAACCTCCATTAAAACGATAACATTACAACGCTGTTTTGCGCTGGTAGCAAACGGTTAAAAAAAATCTTGATAGTATTGTGCAGTGGTTTGTTCTTGTTGACGTTCAAGTGTGTGTGCTTTCGAAGAGCATGCCTGCTGGTGGTTTGAATCGATATTATTGGCATTTTGTGGATTTTTGAATTGGTAGGTTTGGGGATTTGGGTACTGATGCGTTTGGGGCTGTTGTGGTTGAAAGCTGTTAATTGCGCTGAATTGATTGGAATAAGATTGTCACCCATTGCAGCAAACGCAATTAAAACGTACTGCACGAACTAGCACTCACTACCAATGCAGTCCTATATATCAACAGAGCACTCGGCTGGAATTAAAGATGGCGATTGCAAGAACTGCTGAGGACGGTCGGTAAACAATCGGTGCATGTGCAAGCGTGTATTTAGTCACGTAGGTCACTGTGTCGCCGGTGCTTCTCCGGCATCGGCGATATACAGTGGCAGTGGCCGGCTGCTCGCCGGCATTTTACCGGCACCGATCAGAGGCCGGCGTATGTGCCAGGTCCCGTTCCCCTCCGTGGTTCACTATTGGAATTTGGACGACCGGTAAAAAATCGGCCGTCCAAAATCGGTGTGTGTGCAAATAGCCTTACATGAAATCGGCAGTTATAAATGTATTTAATATTGTAGCGCACTGGATAAAAGTTTTTATTGCTCTAGATACAGCCAGTTAATTTGTCAAGAAACACTCTGGAGAGCGGGAAGGATGACTTAAAAGAGAGAATTTGCCCCTTGTTTCACCCACAGCAGAAAAGGTCGAGAATTCGAGGTTTTTGCGAGGGGTTGGTCACGACTTATTTTAGGGGAATTGACTTTGTAAACAATAAACGCGAATTTACCGCGGAAACCGCATTACCTATTGGATTGTTTACCTAATTTTTATGGGTTGGATCCATCGTTCCACGAAATGGGGGTTGAAATATATTGTGTGATCAAAACTCTCTAAACCTTCCCCATATAGTTTTTATTCGTTGAAGTTTTTAAAAATAAAAGCGACTATAGTTTCGGCGTACTGCCATCATCAGGCGACTAGAAGTTTATCACAATATAGCAAATTTGAAAACATTAAGAGCTAGTACTTACTGTAAAATTTAACAGGAAAACGGTAAGTTACAAACGTTGAAGACGAATAAGACGAACATGTTTTTTAATTAACAAGGCTTGATAATAATTCGTTTTGAAACTTAGGACAACCTTTCCGGTTTAACCACCCTTCAGGTTGTTTCATTTGGCTTCGGCCAGTTAATTAAAAAACAACATGTTCGTCTTATTCGTCTTCAACGTTTGTAACTTACCGTTTTCCTGTTAAATTTTACAGTAAGTACTAGCTCTTAATGTTTTCAAATTTGCTATATTGTGATAAGCTTCTAGTCGCCTGATGATGGCAGTACGCCGAAACTATAGTCGCTTTTATTTTTAAAAACTTCAACGAATAAAAACTATATGGGGAAGGTTTAGAGAGTTTTGATCACACAATTCTTTACCTAAGATTACGTACCTTCACCTACACCAGGACCGGTCACAAATTTCATTCTATAACCAATTCTTACTGGCTATGAGTTGGCACGGCAACGATATGGTCGGCAATTAGTTGGATCGGCAATGAGATGGGCCTGCAAAAAGTTGGCACGGCAATGAAGTGGCGGTCTAGAAATGGCGGCAATGAAGTGGCGGTCTAGAAATGGCGGCAATGAAGTGGCGGCAATGAAATGTCCCATTCCGTACTTAAAAGCGCCCTCTATTGGGCAGGAGTATAAACACCTACCGTTTAAACTGTAAACGGAAGCTTACGAATTTATAAATTCAGTTGAAGCTGGGCTGTGGTACAAAGGGTCCCTGGTTCGAATCCGAGTTCGGGCATGGATATTTGTAAATCTATAGTGGGTTGGGTTGGTAGAGCAGCCTTGGCTGAAACCCCGCCCACTCAAAAATAAAGGCAAAAATAGATAAATAAATAAATATGATAGGATAGGAGGTAAGCTAGCTAACCTCCTATCATATCATTGTTTTAGCATTGCTTAATTGAACAGTGGAGTTACTTATTCACTTTAAATTTTTTGGAGCGACATCTAATGGATAAGCGTAATTTTACAGTTTTGAACGGTACATGTCTATAGTGCTGTTCAATACAGGACGCTTTTAAGGAAACCTAAATATCTAAATACAGTAACTTTCCAGCTTAACTCGGACGTCATAAGTAATTTCCGTCTGAGACTTTTGTAGGACTTGATGAATAGCTTGCGAAGATTTTGGACACTTTTTACAAATTGACTTCATTTATAACAATAGGTCTCGTAAACAACAAATCTCAATTTATTTCCAGGAACTAAATTCACATACAAATTCAATGCTTGAAAGGAAATAACTCAAAATCCCATCAAATTAACTAACGCTCCCTAATCAAGCCTGAAAAGTTCGCTTTAGTTGGTGACTTTTATTTTTGGCCAAAAAATTTTTAATTCACGAAAATATTAAAAAATATATTTCATGTACCTCGACTTTGGAAATCTTTTCTTTGAAGGCGGCTTCCTACGATGACGTGGTGTAGCTTTCTACGACGGCGCTTGCATGTCATATCAACGCCAATGTTATATAAAAAAGAATGAAAAAGAAAACAATTTACGGGCTGATAACCACAATTAGCGTAGATGACGATGTTGATGGACGCACAAATTACTACACTACATATGGTACTTATCATAGGAACATTAAAAAAAATTAAATTACTTTATTTATTACAACTAATTGACAATTAACCTTTTCGCTGCTAAATTAAAAATTCGAGTGTAAACACTAAACAGCCTGTGCTGAATTAAAATTGTACAAAACGTATATTTACGTACGTCGCACTGAGAGAAATCGTCGCGCGTATATATACGTCATCAGCAGATTGATTTGCAGCACCCAGCACGTGCATATACGTGCACAGCAAGGTTGGGAAGTAAAGCTCAATGTATTTTATCGGAGGGGCATCAAAATTTGTTTATTTATTTTTGTTTTGATTTTTTTATTTTTTATTTAATTTTTTTATATTTTTTTATATAAAAACAAAAAAATAAAAAAATAATAAAAAAATAAACCGCAGCCTCCTACTTCGTCAATCCAACGTATTCATCCGCCATCTACTGATTGACTTATGGATAAAACAATTTATCAAACGTGTGAATAAATAACTACTACAACAAAATAAATGCGCACACGTGTTACCTGAAACCGTTTTTAGCGTACTGTACAAAACTAAATTGAGTCGTGTTGGTACTCGTTGGAAAGCTCACGAAATGGGCTTTCCGATGGTGTGCAAATGATTGCAGCACGTTAATATACGGAGGTAGCACAGAATTTTAAACAGGTACAACGTATATATACGTAC